ATGCAATCAGCTGGTTTTCCTTAGATAGAAAACTTTGAATCAATTTGACTGGATGATCTGATGAACTGTATAAGTGTCTTAAGACAACATGTGTTGTGAATTGGAGCTATAGAAATTAACAGAATAGAATGTCTACTTTTCAGGAAATTCATATTCACATCAAGCATGGATGATGCTGGTCAAATTGGGGCAACAGCCTTCCAGAAAAGGAAGACTAGAAAAAGGACAAAGTTACAGGAATTACCTGTTATAATGACAAAAAACTCTGAGGTGCCTATAAGGTCTGTCATGCAGAGGACTGTGGGCAACCGGATAGTTTAGCAGCAGCTAAAGATGTCAGGAGGTCCCGGTGCTAAATGAACTGATGAAAGGACGCATCATGCTTCCTGGCCTTAGCTCCGCCCTGACTGACAGCACTATTCGGATAGCACTTATTATGGCGACGGCAGATGCCGTAATATATGCACTGTGATTTAATTTCCTTACTGACTTGAGGTAGTTGGATTGAGACTGGAAGGTTTTGTTTTTGCCCGTTGAATCTGCTGACATGACAACTGTCCAGCAGACAGTCATTAGCGTCCTCCACAGAGGCCATTGCTAACAAAAGAGTTTACACAGAGTGTATCCAGGTAAACTCATAGACAAATGAGTGGAAAGAATAAATATGTGGTAGGCAGAAACAACAAGATAAATGCTGGATTTTTAGCCATTTGATGGAGGTTCAATTTCTCAGTCAAGTCATAATGATAGCTGGTAGGCAGCTGTGTTTGCTGCAACACTCATGGTAAATTACTCATCATCTCCTGTGGATTTATAAATCATCAACCATCAGCTGGCAACCTCATAGAAGGTTAATGTAACTGAATATATAAGCTTATCTAAAGCTGCCTGTATCAGATTATTGTGTCATGAAATGACTTGTCGTAGATATTCAGGTGTAGTTTTCTTACTTGTCTTTTGGGGCTTTTTATGTGCTGAGTGTGCTGGGTGGGGGTGTTTGTGTGGTTCCTCCAGGGCAGCGGGGGGCAAAACCACTCCACTTCACTCAGGTAGATCAGGAAGGAACAGTCAGAACCATCAACGCCGTAGAAGGCGTAGCAAGGGTCCGATGTCCACCGAGCACGCATCCACTGGAGGACAGACAGAGAGAAAGGGGGCATCGGAAAACGGTTTTAAACTTAGAAACACACAACTGTAGGCAACTGATGGCCCATTAGAGGACCTCAGTTAAAGGGTCAACAGACTGCAGATAGTTTACTGGATTACATGTTGGCTAAATCCAATATAAACACCTTATAAAGCCAACCAAACTCAAGAGTTATGAGGTACACAAAGGCAAAACCAAGCAAACTTAGGAGGATAACATCCTAAAGCATCGTCTTTATTTGGGTTGTGACGTCAATAATCTATACAGCAGTGCTTGAACACTGAGCCGTGATAAGGAAAAAATAAAAGCAAACATTCTATGAACTTACATCTACTTTTCCGGGGCATTCAGGAAAGCGGCTATCCCTCGGTACTTCACACTGACTCGCTGTGCCGTCTCTCAGCGCTGAAACAAGCAGGAAGACATGTTTTAACTCGTAACATCTGTTAAAGTCGTAGGGAAACGGCTGTTCCAAGTTCGGAATTGCAGTTCGGAATTCTCCCGAGTGGTGCCCAACTTTACACAAGTCAGAAATCCCAAATCTCCCAGAAGTTGCGGGAGTCCTCTTGATATAGATTGTAGGGATGCACGATATTGGGATTTTGGCCGATATCGGATATGCCGATATTTTAAAACTCATGTAGCCGATAACCGATATTGATACCGATGTTAAAGCTAGACAAAAATAAGTAGTCATTGAAAATAGCAGTTTTGTTATCCATTTCTGACACTTTGAAAAATAATATACTCAAATATATTTTCATATGCTGATATCAAATTGATTTTTAAAAACGCGGTATCGATCTATTTTACCTTCAAAATCTCATGAAATTTTATCGTTCTGTTACAAACTCTCGTGATATTTTGCAAATTCTTGTGAGATTTTGTTAGTAAAATAGATCGATACCGCGTCAATATATCAACATATAAAAATATGGCAACATTTGGTGAATTTTCGGGGGATCTCGTAGCATAACGATGACATATAGCAATATTTCATTAGTAAAAGAGATTGATATGGTGTTTTTAAATGGCAATATATCAGCATATGAAGATATTGGGATATTTTAATGGATCAATATTTTTTCCCTCGTCTTTAGAAGTTTTTAAGTCTGTAAAAAAGAAGTTTTTGAGGAAGAAGAAGAAGAAGTAGTAGTATTTTTTTTTTTTTTTTAGACTTTAGAAACTCAGAAGCTGATCAAATATTGGGTTAAATGTTGGTGGGGTGGCCGATGTCCGATATTCAGTTTTAAGGCCGATACCGATAGGGGGCCGATTATATCGTGCATCCCTAATAGATAGAGTAGATTTATATACATGTTTAATCCAGAATGATTTGACATTTAAATGATTTCCCTACGACTTTAATATAAGCCTGATGCTTTAAGGTCAAAGGCTCTGGATTATCTGTCTGCTCTGCTTTGTCAGTTCATGTTTATTGCTTTCTTAAGTTAAGCTTGTTTTGCTAACATTCGTTTTGCAGTAAAACTAATCATTCAAACATCCATCCATCCATTTTCTAAAACACTTAATCCCAAGCGGGGTAGCAAGGGGAGGTGGTGCCTATCACCAGCTGTCTACGGGCGAGAGGTGGGGTAATGTAGTTACAGTAATTTAAAATAATATATCAGCTTTTTTAGCAGCCTGCTGATAACTCTTGTGTAGGTTTAAATTAACCATACATTACATTATACATTAATACATTAACCAAACAACAACAACTGGAAGGACCAATCAAAGAAAGGTTATGGGTGGCCCAGTTTTTAGCTTATTAATTGTAAATGTAAAGTATAATATTAATTAGATGAATAGTTTCATTGTTTACTGTGACCAATTGTTTACCACCAATGACGCTGGTGAAGATTCTCAGTCATCCAGGTCAGAGTCTTTCCAAAAAAATAAAAAAAAACAATCCACTGGACTTTGTTTCAAGTTTGAAGACGTTTTACTTCCCATCCAGGAAGCGACCCCCATTCCAAAGGGGCGGACCCGTTCGTCCGTTTCAATTTCCATGTTTTCTAAACAAAAACTAGGCTTTGTTTTGGTCCACTCTATAAAGCCTTAAACTCAACACTATTTCTGACATTTTGAATTGAAAAAGTTTCCTGGATGGAAGAGAAACATCTTCAAACTTGGAAACAAAGTCCAGTGGATTTGCTTTTTAACTTCTTGGGGACCAACAATGATGTCTGCTTACTTTCCCACTGAAAATAAAAGGTTAGCGCAAGTTTTTCAAACATGGTCGACAGGCTAACATTCATTTAGCATTTAGCTCCCTTTCCACTGGCAAATAAAGCTTGTCTAATCACTCACTGGCATCCGGTGACATTATCATGCTGGGTTAGCGTTGATGATGTCACCACTGCAACAGAAATCAGGAAAGTAAACAATGGAGAGCAGCATGGAAAGAAGCCAGGGCGTAGTCAGTGTGCTTTATTGTTTCTCTCTGTTATCTGTTTGAATCACCAGAGCTGCTCCATGTTTATGGAATGGAAACAGTCGCTTCTGCCTGTTTTTT